GAGTTCCTCGATTTTCTTAGCTTCTGGAGCCTCCGACCTGGGTGGTTCACCTCCTCGGGTGTATCGCTTTAGGTGTCCGTCTTTGATTAGGATTTCGATCGCATCTTTGAGATGAATGCAGTCTTCCGTTACATGCCCGTGGGTCCTGTGGAACCGGCAGTACTTTGACTTGTCCACGTTGGGTTTGGGCGGCGTTGGTCGTGGAAAACGGACACCTCCCTGCACGAACTCGGTTTTAGCACATTCGGCCAGTATGCGTTCGCGTGAAGCGACCAGGGCGGTGTATTCGGTGAACCTTCCTGCCGGGCCGCGTGGCTCGCGCTGTTCGCGGGGTTCGCGGTGGCGGTCATCCCGACGGCGGTCCCCTCCTCGGCGGTGGCTCGAAGCTCCGTCGTCTCGGTGCCCGCGGGGGGCTTCTCTGTCTCGGGTGTCGCGAGCGGAGTTGGCCGCTTGTGTTTCCTCGAACCGGATGTAATGTGCGGCCCTGTCGAGGAAGTCTTGGAGGGATGTGGGCCTGTGTATGCCTACGGCCTCGTAAAATTTGGAGTCATGGCGCAGGCCTTGTTCCATTAAGTAGCGTTTCATTTCGTCGGAAGTCGTCACATGTACGGCTTCCCGAGTAAACCTTTCGATGTATTTCCGGAGAGGTTCGTCGGGGCCTTGGATGATCGCCCCGAGGACTGCTTCCGTCTTCGGGTGACGACGGGACGCCGTGAAGTGTTTGGAGAATAGGTCCTTCAAGACCCTCCACGACGTAACTGATTCGGGCTCCAGACTTTTGTACCAGGTCATAGCGCCTTTCCTCAGAGTCGTCGGGAAGAGTCTGCATTTAATAGCTCCCCGGACATTTCGGTAGTCGAGCATAGCCTCGATATCTTCCAGATGATCGTCCGGGTCGGAGGTGCCGTCGTACGTTGACAGCGTCGGTGGTTTCTCCATTCCTTGGGGTATGGGGGCTGCCATGATCTCCCGGGACAGTGGGGTGCGGTAGTCATCCTCGTCGCTGTGCGCCGGGGATCTCAGGGGAGATGAGCCGTTCGCGGCGTGTCCCGGGTTTCGGGTCCTTGATCTTCGGCCTGGGTTCCCGCCTCGGGGTTCCTCGGTTGGGATTGTCGCGGCGTTCTGGTTCCTCCCGCGACCATGCCTCGCCGGGGATCTGGTGCGCTCCCGTGTCGCTTGCGGGCGGTGTCTCTCCAGCCGTGGTCGGCGGTTCCTGAGTCGAGGTGAGGGGCTCCTCGAACCTCCGTTCTGGTCTTCCCGCTGGGGGTACCTCGGGGAGCCGCTGCGTTCCAATGCTCCAATTCTAGCGTTTTGTTGGGACAGCAGCTGGTTCGTCTGGTTGATGGCAGCAAAGAGAGCGACTACCGTTGGGTCTGCTCCCGCCGGGATGGGAACGGGATGGAATGCTGGCGGGCTCGGGGGGCGATGGTCGGCCTGTAGGGGCCGTTCCTCGGATGATGGTGAAGCAGTTTGCCCGTCCCTTTCGTCGGCTTCCGTCAGGCGTGCCGTTCCTATCTGCTTCCCGTTGGTGGCGGTGTTGAGCGCGAGCTCGTGCGGAGTGTCATCGCGGCGTGGGCTGGCCATGACCGTGGAGGTTTGGTGAAACTTTTGGTTTTTCTGCTCGGAGTAACGGGGAAGTTTCAGTTTCCCACAGACGGCGCCACTGATCTGACCTGATCAGGAGGGATCACGGACTGGCCACACTTCGCTGGACAGTTATCTGTTCGCCGGGGTAAGAAAGAGGAGGGGGGTGTACCTGCAAAGCACTCCGACGCCCAAGTAAGAGGTTGGACAGAGAGGAAGTAATAGTACAGAAAAAGGGGGCAAGAAGAGTTACCTGACCCTCTTGGAGAAGAGGGTATTTATAGAGAGACCCCAGCGCTGGGCCAACGGTCATTCGAGGGGGGCTGGACGACCAGGCCCAACCCTGATGACTGCTAGGGCTTACGTGGCGTAGTGAAGACCAGGACGTGGTCTTCGCCCTAGTTCAACCGCTCCTAGATCTCCGGAAAGTGGGTTTGACCTGCTCTTTCGGCGGAGGGCAGTTGACCGAGGACGTGTCCCCGCGGAGGGGAGCACGTGGAGAACGTGCGCCGAGCACGTTATTCTCCCCGCGGAGGGGAGCTCGGGTAGTCTTGCTCGTCCGGCGTGACGGGCGACAAAAGGGGACGCGGAGCGGTAGCTTGTGCCCGGCGGCCAGCCCTGCTCGTTCGAAGGGGCGCGTGCCAGGCGTTTCCAGTTCGCTTGTTGGGCCGCATTTGGTATTGGGCCTGCCGAGGTGAGGCCCATACCGGAACACTAACTTTTCTTTAGATCTATCAAAATAATTTATTCTATTGGTTGTTCGAACCAACCGATAGGAAATGTGGCTCAGGGACCAAGCTTCAAAATCTACCTTTTACATTCTTATTTTTAGTTTTTCTTTTCATTTTGTGTCTTTCTTATGTTTTTTTATTTATACTAGTATATATTCCTTCATTTGGGACTTCCATCCGAAAGGAAATATCAACTTTGTATTTCAAATGGTGTTTTTGTCTTTCTTTTTTAATTTATCTATTACCTCGGCTAGGAGTTCCAACCGAGAAGAAATCTTAATTTTGTACTTTATATGGCATTTTTCTCTCTCTTATTTTAATTTATTTTTAATTTATCTATTCCCTCGGTTGTATGGTCCAATCGAGAGAATATCTCTTTTGCATGTATTTTCTAGAACTAAACTCTAACTTTTCATTTACTTTTTGACACTCATTTCATTTTCATTTTCATACAAAACCAACAGTCTCTTAACAAATTATAGCCTAGGAAATTCTCATCTTCATCAAAACGACCTAAAATATATCTAACCTTAGCTTCAATCATCATTTTTGAAACATCATCTCTTCCAACAAGCGTAAGTGTTCGAAACATCATCTCTTCCAACACACTTACGTGTTCGAGACTTCATTTCCTTCCTTTGAATGCCATTAATGCCATTGAAGAACCAACGGAACTTGAAACGAAGAAAAGACAATCAAACTCGAACGAAGCTTCTTCCACCATTATCGTATATTCTTCATCATGTTTTTGGTACGTACTCACTTTATCCATGTATGTAACTTAGAAATGTTAGTTTTGTTGTTATGGATTGCTTATTGCTTGTAGGTTATATTGAGAGAATTGAATTTTTGTTATTTCTGTTATTTTGATTATGTTGATAAAATAGGTTTTTTCTTCTTTAGTGTTGATATTGACAAAAGTTCATATGTACGATGTGTCACATTATGTTTCTTTGTTGATGTTGTGTTAAGTAAAATGTTTAAGAGGATATTCTTATGAAGTTTTCTTAGAAAGTGTTGATGTTATTTTAATTAAAATGTACCACATATACCATGAATCTCACACTAGGTGCCTTTGTTGATTTGTGTTAAGTAAAATATTTATTGTTGTTGTTTAAACAGAGATGAATGATTCATTTATCACCTCTCCTACAACCACCTCTTATACAAATGGGAGTTCTGCTACTAAGACTAAAAGTATAAGCAATTTTAAAGGTTCTAGAGTGATGGTCAAGTTGATAAAAGTCTGCAACACAAGTGTTAAGATGCTGATCAATTTTAATTTAAAAAGTGATAGGTATTATGGTGAACATGCTACGACATTTATGAGTTACTTGACATTACTTGGTAGAAAAAGAGGCAGTATTTTGTTAGAAGATTGGAGTCAGGTAGATCTTGAAGTGAAAAATTATATTGACAGATGTTGTGGTATTTATTTTAACTTTCGTGATTTGTTTTACAAGTATATATGACCATTTATTTGTTTTGTTTAATACTATTATTCAAGATGATGATAAGCTGACAAAGAAATGAATTTCACATGCTGGTAAATATACTATCGAAAGGGCTTTAAGACACAACTCAAACTGAGAATCAATGGGGTCGTACTGGTCGTCAGCTACTAGTTGTTGTTGATCACAAATGTTTTCTTGTAGAGTCTTGTTTTTGGTGACATAATCCCTCAATAGCGGCGGGCATTTACGCTATGGCAGCCCGATCATCGTCGTTGCTGCTAGAGGTCACCCTTACCATCAAGGGACGATAAACAATTGATGGCAAGTATGTAACTCCGGCCCGAGAAAGTTTTACCAGACGCCACATAAGACGCCAAATGTACACGCCGAGTACACAAATTTGATAACTCTACCAGAGTTAGGTCAATCTTATATGTAATGTTTCTTGAGTATTAGTCATATGAAAAGAGTGTTGAAAAGGATTCATGTAAAGATAAATGCACTTCAAAACGGTGGAGCATAAGTACATAAGTATCTTTCAAGAAAGCCAAATGCCATTGTTTAAAGAGTGTACGTCATACATGAAACATCAATCTATTGTATTAATTAGAGCCATGTTAAGTAGGTTAAATGATAAGTGTGATGTTATTAGTTCTCTCCATGTAGTGGAAAGTTTGTTCATTTGTGGGGTTCATACTTCAAAGTGTATGTCACCGCATGATATGAAATTGGAAACATTTACCTAACAAACATAAACAAACAGAGTAGATTTTGCAACTTCCTATCATGTCTATTTATTCAAGATATCATAGGAGTTCAACTACCATTTCTCTAACTTATTAAAACACTTATTATTAAGAGGAACAACTACTTTACCATATTAATTAACCATCAAAGTAAGACAGCAGAAATTATCGGCGTGTTGTGAGGTCTATCAATTTTCGGAAATTTTTTTTTTGTCAGCAGACAATGTAACACTATGGGGTCACGATTAATCATTCCATCTCGTGCTTATCATTAACTAGTATGGTGGTAGTAGATAAAAATTGTACTCAAAATTTCTAAAATATGTACAAAATTTCATTGCTTTGCCACACAATGTAACCAAAACTTATCCAGAAAAAACAGAATCTGTGGAGTTGTCTCCATTATGTTTTTATCAAAGATTGAACCATCCAAAAAAGAATTTGAATTTGAATCTTAACTTAAACAATTTTTTGTCAATAGTGATTCAAAACGCCTTTGGCTTAAGAATGTGTTGCAATTGAGATTTCTGGCTTTTCACTCTTTCTTCCAAAGGAATGATAACTTTGGAATTAGTTTTAATACCTTTTGGCCATTCTATGCATCCTTTCATCCCACGAGTTATGTGAGGATTATTGTTATCTCTTGAGGTTCCTTCAATAGAAATTGTTTTTTCGTCGATGCGGCACGATCTTAGTCGATTAGAGGCAGGAGAAGAATATAACATACCAGTTTCTTCACTGCATTCCTCATAGATTGGAAATACATCATCTGATTTTGAGAAATTATAAGAATGTTCGAGAATTTGTCGAATGTTTACCGATTCAACCGCTTGTTCGATCAACCGAGCATCCTCTATCTCATCGTTGCAAATTTCGTCGCCTTTTGATCTTAAAAACCTTTGCAGATAAGCAATCAACTCTACCATTTGATTATACTTCTCTTCAAGTAGGTTTTTCGCATCGTCTAGCTTCATTTGCACGCGTTCTTCGCGCCATAGCTCGATCATTTTTGTCATCTCCCTCTCTTCTTCAACTTCCTTGTAAATTTCCATTGCTTCCCTCATTAGCTTCTCAATCTCACCTTTGTCTTCTTCTATATGATTGTTCAATTCATCACACACTTTTTCTGTCAATTCTCTTTTTCTCTTTTCCTTTTCGTAGTTTTTCCTAAACCGATCAGAGCTTTCGTTCGCCTTGTCCAATTCCTGTAACAATTTGGCATTCAAAAACTTCATCCTTTCTCTATTTCTTCTCTCCCTTGCCAACTTTTCCTCTAACTCATCTAACTCTTTTTCAATCTTCTTGTTTTCTTTGCATTTCCATAACACTTTTTCGTGCTCGAAATTTTGCAAAAACTGTCTCACTTTTTTCTTAGAGGAATTCTTTTCAGCTTTAAGTTTTCTAACCATCCTTTGTGATCGAAGGAGTTCTTCAAGAAGAACCTCGACGATCGAGTCATGCTGGTCACCAACTAGTTTTCTGTCTTCTAGAAGCTTCCTCCAATGAACAATTGTAGACTCATTGGATCCTTTATCAAGTAAAGGGGTCCATTTTGATTCTCTTTCTTTTGAAGATTTGATCAATGGCTTAAAGGCTTCAAGCTTAGGATAACATGCCAACACCACACATCTAATTAGTTATTTATCAATGACTACTGAAATGATCGATTATTAGTGTCCTGTCTGGTGTCTGTATCTGGTGTGGTGTTCGTGTCAGAGTATGTAACATTAACCTCAATTTAAAACAATTGTTGGAATGAGAGACAAAAAGAAAAGTATCACATTGAGATAAACAAACACATACCTTAGGCTTTGAAGATCGAAACCATCCATCATCCCTAACATAGCCGCAATCACCAGAGAACTCAACAAACCGCATCTGCCACAAACCAGCTGCCAGTTTCCTGGCAGAAACCTCATTTTTCACGAAACCTTGTCTGAAATTCACAGGAGTACTACCGGAATATTTTTTATAAGTACTTCTGCGGCGAAGAGCAATGGCAATGTTCGAATTTCGACGTCTGTGTGTCTCCGGAGTAAGGGAATGATTGCCGGAGGAATGAAGTGGGTCGAGAAGGGTGGTGTTGTTGGAATCCATAAGAAAGGTTCATAGACATAAGAAATATTGAAAGCAAAAAGAGAAAAGTGAAAGAGACATAGGAAAAAAAAACAAAGGTTGATTTGGAATTTTGAAATGTTTGTGTCTGGTTAGTGCTGAGTGCTGACTAAGATTTTATTTTTGCATGCATTTTTCTCTTTCTTTTATTCCAATTTCAATTAAATTCATAAAATAATGACATCATATGTTATAATTAGTTTTCTATATTTTTAGATTTTAGTTATAACCATGTGTGTATATATTTGGTAGGTTAATAATAAATTTCAAGTTAGTGATAATATCTTTTCTCTTTTTTGGTTATTAGTTTTCTCTCTTTTATGACAATGTTGTCAATATTAATGAGTTTATTGAACAAAAGTTAATATGGTATCAGAAGAAATTAAAATTTCTGATTTTTTATTAATTTTCTTTATCATTTCCAAATGTTTGATACCGTTATTTCTCACTATTAGACAGTTACCATGTATTCTCTTCCATTTACAACTTCAAGATTTCACTCTGATCATTATCTTGATTTTTTGTTTCAAACACACATTTTTTACATGTGTGTATTTCATAGATTGTGCAAAATATCATTCAGAACAACATTATTACAACATATCTCAAATGATATGTCTTTTCTAGGGATGATGTAATACTGTGGTGAAGTTCTAGCTCATTAACTCCATTGAAGGTGAGATTTCTCAGAGTGTCCTTTGAGTGGACACAACTCACTATATTTGGACTAAACTACGTGGTTGTTATTATCAAGATGACGTCTTATGTATTTCAGATCTTCAAGGAGAGATATTCGACCTCAATCAAAGAGATTAAATAATAACCCAATTATATACAACCATTAAGAAACTTTGGCAAGAGATGGAAAATTTCCGACCCATCCCTAGCCCATATAGTGTTTGTGTAACCTCATCCTTACTATAAAATATTACAGATAATGACTACATAATTAGGTTCCTCAAAGCCCACAATGAGCAATATGCTCTAGTTTGTTCCTAGATAATGCTTATGAACCCCATTCCTCATATCAACAAATTGTTTTCCTTGCTCATTCATGAAGAGTGTTCATTCGTAGCTCTTTCCAGTGAAGAAGATAAACTCATGGCCACTTTCTCTAAACCTAATAAAAAACTCGTCCTCCAAATTCCAACAACAAATTTCCTTCTTATGGTCATGGTAGAGGCAAAATATTTTGCAGGTATTATACCAAAATGTTTATTTTATTTGAATTACGGATCAAAAGGTACATTTAAAGAAGAAATAGTACTCAGCAAGAAAGAAATTACAACAATAAAAAGCCTAATGATCCTAGGAACGAGATTCTTTGTTGATCCACTAACTTTAGGAGATACTTTTGACATTTTTTCACTTTGTCAAAGTAATGGATGACTGTTCACCAATGGGACTCCTTCTTCAAAAGTCAACTGCTTAGACTTTGTGTTCACATTGGGCATTCTCGTCATGACTTGTAGGGTATGGATGAGGAAGAGGATCATGCTGTTGTAGCTCTACTAAGGCATCTCTGAGCAGGTGTGAAGTAGTAGGCAATAAGGCTTTGGTGTAGGATCCAACTTCTTTCCGATCTGTTAGTTCCACGATTCTATGGTTGGCTAAATTTTGGTAAAACATGATTCTGCACTGATGTTAAGCAAGTGTTATAACATCTTCATCTACTGTTTTGACAGTACTGTTGTCATGTGTTTTAATCAAGATGTCGAGACAGAACTGTTGTCATGTGTTTTAATCAAGATGTCGAGACAGATGTCGTGACATCTTTGTCTGGTACAGCAAGAGCTGCTATTTTATATCTCTTGACAGAGGTGTTTTGGTTTGATGAGATCCTGTTGGATATACCTCATCAGTATGCGCAGGTCAATGAGATTTATTAGGAACAAAGTACAGATTTAATTGGATTTCATAAAAAGGATCTTTTTGAGACTTTTTAAGAAATTATAAAATATTTGTTTCTACTATTATGAAGAAGATTCTGCAGAAGATTTGGAGTTTGACTTAATTAGCAGGCATTTTGGTAAAACTAGGTGTAATCACAAGATGTCTTACAGGATGTCGTGATATTTGTCTGTCATGAATATGTTTGTGTGTCCATATCTTTTTGTGCAAGCTGGCTGCACTTTTCTGGTACAGAATCTGCGTGTTTTTAATGGCTTACTATGGGCGTTTCTGATACACTTGTTGTGGATCAGATTGGATTTGATATGGAGTTATTATCAGAAGATTGATTGAAGATTGGAAGAATGATATGATTAGATTTGATTGATCAAATCAAATATGCTATTTATGAAGATTGAAATCTTCTCTTCCTGCTGTTATTTTTTACCAGCACAAGCCCAGTATGCATTACTATTTAAGGAGGCGAAAACCCTAAAGGAAGACAAACATTCACAACAAGAAAAATCTTGAGTGCAACATAAGAGTTTAGGATTTTGAGAGTCTTTTGTGTGTGACTTTGTAAGTCACCCTTTATATCTTTTAATGCATTGTGGTAGACATATTTATGTGTTAGTTTTGTGAGTCATTCACTCATTGGTTAATGTGTGAATTGGACTAAGTTGTTATTTGTAAATTGTTAATTGTTCACTCAAAGCTTGTAAGCAAGAATGTATTGTACTTTATTGAAGCTGTTAAGCAAAATCAAGTTTCGGCTTTGAAGAGTGTATCCTAAAGTCTTTTCTTTGTGTTGAATTGTTTATCACTGCTGTGATTATGGGGAGTGAGAGGTGTCTCTTGTCTAGTGAGTTCTAGGCAAAAATTGCATTGGTAGAGATTAAGTGAGGAGTTGTAAACTAGGAGTTTAGCTCTAAATTAATTCTACTGATAGTGGATTTCCTTCCTGGCTTGGTAGCCCCCAGATGTAGGTGATGTTGCACCGAACTGGGTTAACAATTCATTGTGTTATTTATCTTTCAGCATTTACAATTCTACATAATTTAAATGGTTAGATAAATAGTTTTGTCAGTCTGCAGATGTTACAACAGATGTCATGACACTGTTAATTTTTAAAGGGATTTAAATTGCTCATGTCCTGTCCTTATTTTGTTTTAGCAGAGATCAATGTTCTTAGCATCTCTTAGGACATATGAGATCTGCATACCATAATTTCACGATCTTGCTTTCTCGTGGCAGGGCATAGTGATCCCGTGATATATGGGGTGCGTGAGGTTGTTTCTATCAAGGACATCACTGCGGATTTTATTGTGGAGGCATCATCCATGGTTGCTGCATTTGAGGTGTTAGGTAGGCCTGCGACTGGCATGGCGAAGGGTTACCTTCTCTCTTTAATGATACTTGGCCCTCTTGAGCCCCTTCATAGTTTTTTTAGACATCCTTTGAGTTTGTCCGTGAGTATCACGAAGTCTACTAACTGGATGGCGGTTGAAGGTTCGATGAAGGTGGGAGAGGTATGGTATATGCAAATGCATGTGCATGTCTAAAGATGCAAGGGTATGCAAAAATATTGTTTTATTTTATTTTGAGTTATTCTAAAAGTATTTTCAATGTATGCAGGTGTCATATTAGGATAGTGACAAATAGCGATGACGAGAACCCACGTATGAGTTTAGTGATACTGTTGAATATAAGGACACCTTATTCAGGAAGGCCCCCTACCGATAAGGATAATAACATATATTAGAACCCACGTATGGGTTTAAGGATAGTATCGAATATAAGGACGCCTTATTTAAGAAGGCTTCTTACAAATAGGGATAATGTCTGGCATGGGAAACTCAAACGAGTTTAAGGATGGTGCCAAATATAATGACACCTTATTTAGGGAGTCTCCATATGACATACTAGTTCTAAGTTTATCCTACCCAATCTTCTCACATGTAGGATCTAGAATTTTGGGATAAGAGCCCTATAATCATGAACTATAACCATAATTTTACCATGAGAAGGGACTAGCTCTACCAAGGTAACCCTTCGGGATAAGTTTCATCTAGGTGGGAACTTAGTATCGACCCTTGAGGGTTGATAACATAAGGCCACCATGGGTGAAATGGTTCTAGATAATCGTTCCTAGAGTCATGGACCACATCCAAATCATCAGCATGGTGAGGGGATAACCCTACCATGAAGAAAACTTTGAGGGGTCTATCCTGAGTGTAGCCTTTGTACCCTTGAGAGATGTGAGATTCGCCGGTTAGCATAACAGATCTACATCTTAACTTATGACTTTCCTCTAAGCTTGAGTTTTAGCTTCACACAAATAATAAAAAAAAACCAAACAATGAATATGCATATATATCAAGAAAAATAAAGCAGAAAAGATAAATAAATGAAATAAAACAAAATAAACAAATACAAACAAGTCTTAAAAACAAACAAGCTCTAGAACGAGAAGGTAGGATTGACTCTCTTCAGGGAGATGAATTTTCCAGCAAAGTCGCCAGCTGTCGAAACTGGAAAAATACAGAGACAACATCATCCTTTATTCATTCCTAAGGAATAGGGAAATAATGATAAAATATAAAAATAAGGATAAGACATTAGTGTCTAGAAGTCGATTAAGTTAGGGGAAGGTGTTAGGCACCCTCACCTCCATTGTACTCAATAGGTTCCTCTAATAGTTCTAGGATTATCATATATATATATATATATATATATATATATATATATATATATATATATATATATATATATATATATATATATATATATATATATATATATATATATATATATATATATATATATATATATATATATAAGGGATGTTTGCCTAATTATTTATTTTTGAATTAATGCTTTAGTTCATTCATTTATTAAGTTATTGTTAAGAAAAAAACTTAATCGAGAAGGAAAAAAAAGAAGTTTTTATTATTGTACTCGCTAGAGCGTTTCAACTCTGTGCCTATGTATCCTCAAATTTATTGAAGAACTAGAGTATCGTAGTTCGTCTAGAAAATATTGTGTGTTGATTTTATTTGTGTAAAAATCTCAACGCACAGGGGATGAGAAAA